CGGGAGAGGGAGAGGGAGAGGGAGAGGGAGAGGGAGAGGGAGAGGGAGAGGGAGAGGGAGAGGGAGAGGGAGAGGGAGGAGAGGGAGGAAGAGGAAGAGGAAGAGGAAGAGGGACTGGGCCTGGTGTGGACTTTTGAAATCTCAAAGCCTACATCTAGCAACACTTCTTCTCCAGTAAGGCCACACCTACTCCAACAAGGCCACACCTCCTAATCCTTCCCAAATAGTTCATTACCTGGGAGCTAATAAGCATGCAAATGTGTGAGCTTATGGGGGCCATTCTCATTCAAACACCACTCCCTGACTCCCATACACTTGTAACCATATCATAATGAAAAATGCATTCAGTCCAAATTCAAGTCCCCACTGTCTTTCAGTCTTAAGACTGTTTACAAGTCCAAAGTCTCTTCTGAGACTCAAGACAATCTCTTCACTGTAACGCCCTGTAAAATAAAAGTCAAAAAGCAGGTCACAGACTTCCAACATACAATGGCACAGGATATAAATCACCATCCCAAAAGGGAGAAAAAGGAGAACATAATGAGGAAATACTGAACCAAAGCAGGACAGAAACACAGCCGGGCAAACTCCAAATGCTACTTCCATGTCTTGTGACAAAGCATTCTTCAGATCTCCGACTCCTTTCAGCTTTGTTGACTACCACATACTTCTTGCTTGGGCTGGTTCCATTCCTGACTCCAGTTCTTGGCAGGTATCTCATGACTCTGGCATCTCCAGCATCTCAAGATCTCCCAGACCACCAGGCTTCACCGTCGCAGTTTCCCTCTCTAGGCCTTGATGCAGTGACTCTCCTGCCAAAAGCCTGGCCTGAGCAGCTTCCCTTAGCAGCGGAAAAAGATTCCAAAACGCCTTTACTTCTCCTGTGTCCTTGGCACTATCCAGACCACGTGACCAAAGCTGCCAAGTTCTGCTGCTTGTTAAAGCTGGAATGATTGAATGAATGAATGAAACTCGATCATCCATTCCTTTTAGTTTTTGTTGTTTTTTAATGAGTGTGGAGGCCTTGGCTGCATCTAACCTTGTGTACTCCGCATGCCCGGTTCCTGAGGAGACCAGAAGAGTGGATGGTTGTGAGCTGCCTTGTGGGTCCCCTGCAAGTGCTCAGGGCTCTTTTCCAAGTTTTGTAAGTGCTCTCTTTCTTCCTTCCACGTGATTTATTTTCTGTTTCAACCATGTGTCTTGGATGAGGGTTGCCACTGTCCCATAAACACC